AGAGAGAGAGAGAGAATTTTTTAATATCTATTTTTTAGTTTTCGGCGGACACGACATCTTTGTTGGTATGTGGTGCTGAGGATCGAACCCGGGCTGCACGCATGCCAGGCGAGGGCGCTACCGCTTGAGCCACATCCCCAGCCTCCACTTTGGATATTTTGATCATTCAATGCAAGGATTCATTTATTTAATCTATCAGTACACACAGATGCATTCTTTTTGTGTCACAAAGCTAGGAATACCGTCTGAAAAAGAAATAGGCCCCAGATTCCATGGAACTGCAGCCTAATTATAGTATTTAAGTAATAAACAAGAAAATTATAAATTGAAGATTGGCAGATGGTAAATAAACAGATGATGAGAGAGATGAAAACTCAGTTGGTGATAGGTGAAGAAAGTTTCTGAGGAGGTTGTTTGTGAACTGGAGAATAAGCTGTAAGAAGAGACAGGGAAGAGCATTCCAGGCAGAGTGGGTAATAGAAGCAAAGGACTTGAGGCAGGAATGAAATTGAATTGTTTGAGGAACAGAAAGGAGTGAGTGAGGTGGAATGAGATCAGACTCTAAAAGTAGAAGGGGTAATATGTTAAGGTCCCCACCCTTCCTACCTGCAGTTATACATTGGGAGGGCTGCCAGGACTCACCATGGCAGTACTCATGCTCACTATTCATTTTACCAAAAGGAGTCAAGGAAAAATTAGCAAAGCACATAGGACAAAGTCTGGCCTAAGCTTCCAAGAGTCTTCTCCCAATGGAATTATACAAGATGTGTTTGATTTCCCTTGCAATGAGTTGTGACTACTGGCTGGCCAGGGTTTTCATTGAGGGCTGCTCGTATAAACATTCTCTGCTTATCACAGACAAAATCCCAGAGTCCCCAGAAGGAAAGCAGGTGCTTAGCATAAGCTGCATTTTTTATATGAAGAGTTGAGGCATAGTGAGCCACTTATTAGTCTAAGGAATGGTGGGAACCCTCTTGAAATTCAAGGATGCATATACCAGTCAAAGGGAAACCTTGCAATAGGACTAGCTTAGGGTAAGCAGTCTCAGACCAATGTGGTGACTTTTTGCAAAAGATGTTTTACTGTACAGCAGAAGCACCGGAGAAACTTTTCTATACTTTGAGCAGTACCACTGTGGCTGACCTAGGATGATCTTGCTCAGTACCTTAGAAAACAACTGGGATTTCTGGAGAGAAGTGCAGATAGAATGCTTTCATTAGGCTGTAGAATATCAGGAAGCGAGGCCTGGTGTTAAGTTCTTACACATATGTGATGATCAGTCTTGATGGGCTGTAAATGACTCATGTTTCAACTTTGAGTCATTTCCACCATTGGCCCATGAAACTCGATTAATCCTCAAAAAATAGAAATGGGGTACCCTTGGTACCTTGAAGCTTCATGTGTCCCTTATCCCATGTTCCATGATATTGTGGTGATACTGGAAGCATAGTACACAAGTATAAACAGTTCTGCTGACTCCCCTCAGCCTCCAAGTAAGAGGAAGGACCTTTGATTGGGGAACAGTTTCTAGGCCTGGACTTTTCATGATTCGGACAATAGAGCTTTAGAGGTTGATGAAAATATTGAATGGGAAGCCAGGACCTTCAGCTACTCCTGAAAGAACAGATTTAGTTTGGGATATGATATAATTTGGATCTGTAAGGCCCTCCAAAGGTCCATATGTTGAAGGCTTGGTCCTTAGCCTACAGTGCAAATGGGACATGGCAGATAGTTTAGAAGATGGGGCCTACTGGAACCAAGTAGGTCATCAGGGCACGCCTTTGAAG